AACCTTTCGTGGTCTTGAGTCCTGATTTGGAAACAGCATCTGCTGCTACAGAAGAATAAGTACCCAGCAGTAGGCTAGCCCCAAATTTAAAACTGAAATGGCTGTGAAAGTCTGACTCACCGACGAACACAATATAGAAGCCTGATGATGGCAGATGAGATTCTGCTGAAACGTTGCTACAACTTTAAAAGCACAACTATAATGACGTGGAAAATACCCGAACAAAGCTGAATACCATACATGTAAGTACCCGCGAAAACTTAAGAAAACACATGTATGTATGTATGTACCCTGTTTCTCCAACAATGCGGCCTCCCCCAATAGGAAGTCCCAGCATGCTTTATAGGCATGAAATGAAATTAAGCCCCTCCCCCCAAATTAAGGCCTTGCCCGAAGATGCAAGGGGGGGGGGATTAAGTCACCCCCGAAAAGACAGCCTAGCCATTTTTTCGGGGCTCAAAAAAAAATAAGACCCGGCCTTATTATATGAGAAACAGGGTATGTATGTATGTATGTATGTATGTATGTATGTATGTATGTATGTATGTATGTACACACACACACACACACACACACACATATGAGACCCATTTAGTTCTATGGGAAATGATAAATGCTGAGGACTAGCAACCATCACACGTATTTGCCCTCTTTGTTGCACAACCATTTCTTCCCAGAAAGAAAGAGATGGGAATTGTGTATACATCTGGAGACATCCACATGGGAAAATCTAATTTAGGAAGTTTTGAACCAAGAAATGCCATTAATGGCTATTGGCTATTATTTTGGTATGAACAGAATTGGTAACTTTGTTCCTTTAAATTAACATGAACTAAATCTATTTCCTAAATCTGGTTTAACCAAACTCTTAATGATCTAGACCAATATAGATCATCAGGAAGGCTGTACTAGAATGATTTTTAGTCAACAATAACAAAACTCTTTATTTTGGTCACAGGCCAGCACAACATGAAACCATGAGGATATAAAAATGACAGCAATTTGAACAATAACTGAAGTTTAATATTGTAGCTTAACATTGTAATATTACAGCTCCAACTCCAATGAATTAATTAATAATACTAACATAAACTGAGAAAATATAAATGCTATGGTACAAGGTTATAAAATAGTTTTTGTAGAAATCAACTATACATCTAAAATAAGAAATTATCAGTTTAGTGTAGATTGCAATAAATAAAAGTTCATATAATAGCACCTTAAAATTTACCAAAGTTGCTAATCTTTTTTCCTAATCAATTCCGGATGGATTTTATAAACATAAGTACAAAACACACACACAAAAAGAAGCATTTTGGATGTTATTGAATATAAACAATCAGTTCAATTTGCAAATGTGTCTGATCAGCATGCCCTGTTGGCCTTATTCATTCATTCATTCATTCATTCCATGTATGTAGCCAACCACCTCACTTTTATATGACCTAGAAGGTTTACAATAAAATAAATAAAGTAAAATACCTAAAATACACAATATCAAAAATACAAATAAGACACATAGCAGCCAGGCAATGTTGATTCAAAAAAATGGCCTCTTTTCTACATTCAGGGCCCCAAGACAATCCAATTCCAGGGGGGATAATGTTCCATTATGGGGAACATTAATGTGTGCCTTCATGTAGCAGGCACCATGCTCAAGCCAGCTCAAAACGCCCAGTGCAACAAAAAGAATTTTATATTCAGGATCTTCTTATACCTTGGTTTTGAAACCGCAGAAGGGGAGGCATTCAGGTGCATTAATGCACAGGTCCCCAATCCCTGGGCTGCAGCCTATTGGGGACCAAGCTGCACAAGTGGTGGGCAAGTACACAAAGCTTTATTTGCACATGCATGAGAATTAGGCTGTGCATGTAAAACCCTCCCCTCCCCTGCCACCACTGCTGCTGCCGGTCCGTGGAGGCAGAAATTTTTGGGACTGCTGTATTAATGTACAAGGCCTTCTCTGCTTTGGGACTTATACTTTCATGGGACATGCTGCTGGTATGCAATGGTATACAGGAAAGACCTTGGAAGAGGGGGCAAAGAAATGCAGCCTAGGGAATAGTCAGATAAGAGAGAGCATAGCTTACAGCTGGAAAATGCTTCGAGCATGATGTCAGCCTTAACAGGCAGACCACACAGGAAGCACACAAGCAGAAAAGCTACATTAATAGAAGCTTAAAAATATGAAAGCACAGTCCTCCCACCATTTCCTTTATAGCTTGAGAAACTAGGGAGGGTCCCTTTTGAGTCTCTTGCTCTACTCACTATCCAGCTGTAGTCTAAGACCCCTTTTATCTGCCCATTCTCTAGGCAGGCTCTCTTTGTCTCCCAAGGTCTTTCCCACATTCCATTCTGTGAGATGCATGGCATGAATTATTTTATCCTCACAATACTGAGACAAGTCTGATTCACAATTCAAAGGTTTATTTATTTATTTTTTAAAAGGCATTTATTTGCAAAGGCAGACTCCAAGTCCCTTCCCAAGTGGATTGAATACAAGGAGAGTAAAATCCACTAGTCAAGCAATACATTTTATACTCTCTACACAATGCATGCCACACCTAAGAAGTCCTCCCCACTCCCTTATTATTTCTAATTCATACTATAAGGTAAAGGGTCAACTTGACCATTTTCTTCAAAGACCACAGATATCTTATTTTGTTTGCAAGTAGCTTTGCCTTGGGTGGATGTTCCTATCTTATTTACTTGTGGCCTTGCCTAAGGGAGATGTTCCTGTTTTCCAACAAGTCTGCAGCTAGTCATCATGTACTATTTAAATGGACATACTTTGGAACAACAAGGACATCATAGCTTAAAAATACACTTAATACTTTCATAAAAGAGTAACTTATTATTTATTTCCTTCCATTCCATAGTACTATTTTGTACCTATGATTCCCAGCAATGGTAGATTAGGCATCCTAAAAGACAGGACTGTTGCTCCATGTCTAAAATCTGATGCAAAGTGCATCAAAGACTTTTCATAAATGAGTTATGAGTTAGTCGATGTTTAGAGTCAATTGAAAATCACCTCCAAGAGCTAGCTTGTTTATTAGTTTATTATATAGATTTATCTTATCAAGTAGCTCTGGGTGACTAACCAACAAGTCATCAGAAACATACAGATAAAAATAATAGAAACAACAACAACACAGGATGTTAGGCAAAGAAAAAACCCACATCAGCCCAGGGCAAGAATGCAAGCTGCCAATATCCAGGCCCTCAAGCCTAGAAAAAAATTCCAGGTTTTTAAAGGCTTTCTGAAGGTAAAAACAGGATGTTTCAGACCAAGATTGTAGGGACTAGCTGCACAAGAGAGCAAACTTTAGCCTTGTTTATAGCTATCTGTATCTTAATCTCTCTTTTTACCATGCCCACTTCAAGGTACAGGCTTTCTTGAGACAAATCACTGGACTAGAATCCCTGAACTCACATATTTACTAAGATGTTTTCCAGTGGTCTGAAGCCAGCCAAAGAACCTACCGGTAAGTAGCACATTCAGGAAAGGCTGCATACAGAGAACTGCTGAAGCAACCATAATATTTTCTTTATTCTTAAAATATGTTAAAATAGTTTACTATTGATGTCAGGCAGGGCAAACCTTTGGGGATACCCAATGAGAAACATTGGGTCAGCGTGGCTTTGGCCCGGTTTACCCAATGTGAAGGAGAAACATCGGACCAGCGTGGCTTCGGCCCAGTCTACCCAATGCAAAGAGGAAATATACCAGCAGTTTGGGAGTGGCATCAAGTGGCCACACCCACCCATTCAGCCATGCCCAGTGAGTGGCATCAAGCTGGCCACACCCACCCAGTTAGCCATGCTCATCTGGCCCTCCAAGGCCAACCACAGTCCTGAGGGGGCTCTCAATTAAATTGAGTTTGACATCCCTGCTGTATAACAAGAAAATGGAAATAATTTAGAATATTCTCTGTTGGACTTCTACAAAAGTAAGCAAGCCTCAAAAGTGCGAGGCTTGATGGAACACTGGTGACCATTTTCAGACAATCCTGCTAATTGGTGTCCTTCACCCAGTCACTTTCCTCCATTCCATTCATTGCTGGGGTGCACCAGCTGTCTGGCCACTCTATCTAAATCAACAGTCTTCCCAACTGTTGTCAAAAAGGCCAGGATTCCTGGGCTTCTGTTTTGCTGGAGGGGAGCTCTTGCACTGGCATAATCACCATCAATCCACCATGGACAATATTAGGGGCCTGAACATATCTACTATGTTCTGTCTGTTTTTCAGTGTTTCTATGTGACTCTGTTGGTAAAAGCCAAAAGAACCACAAAGATGGAATGCCTAGAACAGTGTTTCTCACCTTCGTGACTTTAAGTTTTGTGGACTTCAATTCCCAGAATTCTCCAGTCAGCTGTGCTACCTGGGGAATTCTGGGAGTTGAAGTCCACAGATCTTAAGAATCGCCAAGGTTGAGAAACACTGGCCTAGAATGTCCATGCCTTGTAAGTTGACTCTAGCACTAGGTTATGGAAGGTTGTGTGTTCTGTACATTCACACACGTGCTACTTGATTTCCAGAAAACTAGAGCTGCTTGATTTAAAAATAAACTTTCTTAGGTGGGCGCCAATCATAACAGTTTTTCTATTCACACAACACACTACCTCTCATGACTCAGTTAAGCATGTTGGGTGAACCTGGCTGTTATACAGTCATCTGGCTGAATAAAAAGACTGGAACAGAAATCAAAATTCAGGAGGAGGGGGGACTTCCTTTTTCGAGTGATGTTCCTGAAGTAGCATCTTGAAGTGGAAGCTACATTTCTATCTGTCAGTTTTTGATTTTGTCCAACCTGTGCAAATTTCATACATCTGATTTTGAAACCCCCTGAGAACAAAAGGCAAGTCTTAAATGCTTCTTCTGCCTTACTGCTATTGGATTTAGGATATTTTTTTTCTGAAGTGCCTCATGTCATTTCAAGACAAGCTTCAATAAAATAGCCATGCATGAGTGGGAAACAGATACAAAATTAATCTAAAGGTTTCTCATAGTCCCAAATGAGGCTTTCTTAGAGAACAGCAATAATTATTACTTAGTTTCAGGTTATCCTGGAGTGCAGAACCACCTATCTGGAAGATAGTGCCACTTGTTCCTAGGAAAATCAAAGCCAGCCAGCATGGCATCAATGCTTTCGCATGGGATGTCTACTGTTTACTAACCTTCTTCAGGCCAATCCGAAAAAAGGCATTTTAAACAACAGAGGCCTGCAGTTCTTATAGAAGATGGACAGAAAATTTAAGTTCCAAACGCACACTGCTCCCCTCTGGCCCCATAAAAGCATTTGCAAGAGTTATTCGAGAATTTCTGGAAAATAATCATATAAAAATTGCATGGAAATATTTCTCAGTGCATTTCCAGTGTTTGCAGCAACATAGATTTTTTCCTCTGTGAATTCTTTCATGCTTAATAAAATCTGATCTGTTGCAAAAAGTATTCTGACATTCAAAGCACAGGCAATTTTTGTTCCCAGAGTGAAACAGTTGGTGTTTAATTAGCTGATTATTTTTTTTCTCAGGAGAGATATTTATATGGCTTTTCTCCTGTATGGATTTGCTGATGCCTAGTTAGACATGATTTCACCCGGAAGCTTTTCCCACAGTCTTCACACTCAAATGGCTTCTCACCTGTGTGGATCCTGTAATGTCCTTGTAGATGGGACTTCATGTTGAATTTTTGGCCACAATCAGGACAGCCATAAGGTTTTTCTCCAGTATGGAGACGTAAATGGACATTAAGATTAGACTGCTTATTAAAACGTTTCCCACATTCATTGCATGGATATGGCTTTTCTCCTGTGTGGATCCTCTGGTGTGTAGTAAGGTGTGAAGACTGATCAAAACTTTTCCCACACTCACGACAGACAAAATTCCTGTCTGATACTGTAATTCCTATCGGGGGTTTCTTACTTATAATTTCGATGAAGTTTTCTGGATCAGGAATTGCATATGTCACCTCTGGTAATATTGCCTGAGTATTGCCTTTTGATTTGGTCTCAGTTGGTTTGGACAGCTTGGGGTCTACTGTATGGATTCGGCGGTGCTTATTTAGAGAAGCTTTAACAGGGAATCTCTTCGCACAGACTTCACATTCATACGGCTTCTCCCCTGTGTGCATCCTATAGTGTCCAAGTAAATGAGATTTAGTACAAAATCTTTTGCCACATTCAGGACAGCCATAAGGTTTCTCTCCAGTGTGGAGACGTAAATGGACAGTAAGATTAGATTGCTTATTAAAACGTTTCCCGCATTCAATACATGGGTATGTCCTTTCTCCTTTGTGAATCCTCAGGTGTTTAGTAAGGTGTAAAGGCCGCTCAAAACATTTTCCACATTCAAAACAGACGTAATTCCTGTTTGACACTGTTATCCCTATTGGGGAATTGGTGCTGATAATTTTCACTATTTTTTCTGTATCAGGAACTGTGCACACCTGTATCACTTCTGGTAATACTGCCTGGGTATTGCCTTCTGATTTGATCTCAGATGGTATGGACAGCTTGGGATCTGCTGAATGGATTCGTTGGTGCTTATTTAGAGAAGATTTAACAGGGAATCTCTTCCCACAGTCTTCACATACATAAGGCTTCTCCCCTGTGTGTATCCTGTAGTGTCCACGTAAATGATATTTGGCATTGAATCTTTTGCCACAATCAGGGCAGCTATAAGGTTTCTCTCCACGATGCAGACGTAAATGGACATTAAGATTGGACTGTTTGTTAAAACGCTTCCCACATTCAGGGCACGGATATGGCTTCTCTCCTGTGTGGATCCTCTGGTGTTTAATAACTTGTGACGGCTGATCAAACCTTTTCCCACACTCATAGCATCCATATTTTTTTCTTGTTGCAATAGTAGCTAACCGGGAGCTACTTCTAGGTATTTTCTTGTTAGCCTTAGAAGCTTGTGATAATTCCAGTGATAACTCCTGCCGCCTTCTGGATTTGATCCCCATTTTTTCAGAATGTTTGGGATCAAAGGAAACATTCCACCGCAACGGTTCATGAAATTGCTCTGCTCCAGGCTTCTCTTGATGAGGATTCTTTCTTGTATCCACATTTTCTGCAAGAGCAACAAAGATATTCTGTAATGAAGACAGAGGCAAAAGAAGCAACAAGGTAGTAGCCAGGAAAGCAAGGGAAAAAAAAACGGTCTCAGGCAGTGGTGGGATTCAATTTTTTTTACTATCGGTTCTGTAGGTGTCGCTTGGTGAGCGTGGCAGGGGAAGGATACTGTAAAATCTCCAGTCAGAGGTGGTATTTGCAGGTTCTCCGAACTACTCAAAATTTGCACTACCGGTTCTCCAGAAGTGGTCAGAACCTGCTGAATATCACCTCTGGTCTCAGGTTCAATAGGAAAGTTGTTGGTGGAAGAGCAGGTCACGACAAGGGTAGAAATATAGATGGTCAAAGAACCCCACAGCCACTCAGTCTTGCTAAGGTTGAGCTTAAAATTGTTTCTCCCCCATTGAGGCCTGATTAGCCTCTAGTAGTATGATCAGTACCTCTTCTGGTGCAACCAACAACTTTCCCTAAAAAGGGGAGGTTGGAGATTGGATGAAAATGATCTACATCACTTGAGTCGAAATGTGGCCTCTTCAGAATGGCATGTACCATCTCCTCCCTCAAACAGGTCAAAGCACTGCATGGACCCAATCACATGTTACTTTCCAGGTGGCTTTAATCAGTGAAGATGGACAAAGATCTGATAAGCAAACTATTGGAGCAAGAGTCTCAACAACTGTCTAATAGAGATACATTCCTTCTGCCTGACACCCTTTCAGGAATTTTTATAATTATACAGTATTTCCCCCTTAATTATTTTTTTTTACGACGGCTTAAAATTTCAATACTTTTTAAGGATGTGGTTTCAACTTTCCAACTCCATTTAACACATTCCAATTTATTGGAATAGTTCCTAAGGGTGGTAACCAGAAACACACGGATTCTGAAGGGTGATCTGAAGAGTCTAGGCAAAAGCGAGGAATGCTCTCTCAGTCAACTTCCTAGTCCATGCTGAGGGATGCAACAATTCAGAAATACCTGGAAGAGCTAAGATTGTCCTAGATCATCCTAGTGGCATTATTGCTTGCTCCTCAGCTCAGTAAATTAGAGGCAAAACCATAGAAAAGCAAAAGAGACATATTAGAAGGTGGGGGGGGGGGGGAAACATACTGAAGAACACTGGGAAATTGTTGGGCTATCTGCAGGAATTCTACATTAAGGAAAGAAGTGAAGCAGACGAAATCATGGAAACATTGCAGGAAAATATATTTCTTCTGTAAGTCTAAAAGCATGTGGTGGCCACCTAGAAAAGACAACCTTATTGGGTGGAGTTTAGACTTACTGGGACTTAAAATTACTGAAGCCCCAGTGGGCTAATTAAAAAGGATTTTCCAGGGGGCTGATGAATTGGAATGGCTATTAAGGTCTCCCTGATTCTGCTGAAGGTTAGGATGGCTGAGATGTTAGCATGCACCCTCAGAAATAGTCTCTGATTTAGTAGAGCCAACTCAGCTGCTTGAAAGTGGGAGGTAATAAAATCAGCAGGGCAGCAGTTACAGCTATGTTAATGGAAGAAAAGGAATATGTCATCCTGCACATGAGCTAAAACCTATGTATTTGAGATATTATGATCAATTAGATGTATCTTCCAACTCCCCTGGATCTGGGCAGTAAACAGATTTAAATGTTTGAATAAAAATAAATAAATTATATAATCCAATAAAATGTAACAAAAGGATTCTTTTGTCAAAAAAATAATAATCTTCTTACCAACCACAGTTAGGTCCTCAAAATTTACAACCCCTTGATCAATAGTGTCTTTTCCTTTCAATGTCTGGAGATCAGTCATCTGTGATATTTCTTCCCAGTCAAGCTGGAGACATGGATCTGGTTTGGAAATTAAGAGCTCTAGAGTAAGAGAAAGAAACACAATAAAAGAGAAGAGAATTATTGATTCTTTTATAGCCATTTAACACAATAAAATGTCCTGGGTCAGGCTGGTTAGTTAGTTAGCTTAGAATTTCAACATAGGTAAACCTCACTTAGTGCCCAGTTCAGCAACTATTCAAAGTGACAATGCCACTGAAAAAATAACTTAATGATCAATCCTCACATTTATGACTGTTGCAATGTCATAAATAACCGTTCAGGAACTTCACAAGTGGACAGTGTTTATAATCATTGCAGTATCCCACAGTCATGTGATCACTTCACAACCAGGTTCCAACAAGAGGAGTCAATGGAAAAACTGGCAGGTTGTGGCCACATGATGTTGCTTTACAACTTATGGTTATTTGCTTAATGACCGAAGGAGAACTGAACTCCTAAATTGATCATGGTCATGTGTTATGCTTAGTGACTATGCTGCTTAGTGACAGACTTGCTGGTCCCAATTATTGTCACTAAGCAAGAACTACTTATAGTAAAGAAGATGTGGAGCTCAAAGTTGAACTATTTATTCCTTGGACCTCTTAACTTGGTTGTTTTTCTGCAGACATTTTATTTACCAGGCAAGATATCATCATCAATGCATGAGTGTGTGGAGTATGCTGGTTGTTCATAGACGCTTGGTTGGGGTTCAGTTGCTTTCTTGATTGTGCTTCGATCAGAATATTTTTTCTTTCTTAATTGTTTCTCTGGTGCTGCTTCCTGCAGTATGCAACAATGATACCAAGGCTGTTGGTTGTTTCAGGGATATTTGTAGGAAAACAACCGAAGCTCAGACAACATCAAGAACTGAATAGCTTAGAATTATCTGCTGGTGTAGTATAGTAAAAGTGCATTAGACTATAGTGCATTAGACTTGGGGAGAACCAAATTAAAATCTACCTATGCCATGGAAACTCCCAGTGACTTAGCATCCGTCCTTCTCTCTGAGTTCAACCTACCATACAGGGTTGTTGATGAAATGAGATGCCCAAATAAGATTTAGCTTCTGGGATAGATATCTAACTGACATTTTCTTTTTCAGGCTATTTAACTACTTGTGTTCCTTACATTCTCTCCTTTTCAGTATGGTAATTTCCAGCCATAGTTGGCTGAGGTAGTCCTGGGTGTTCTAGTTTTTTATATATATAGTTTTAACGAAGATAAGAACTAACAAAAACTAAGATTTAGAATAAAAGAGAAAGAAGAGGTAAGAAAAGACAGCCAGAAGTGCAGAAAAAATGAAATATAAAGAAGTGATTTTATCATTTTCTTTTACAGCAGTTGTAAAAATGTAATTTAACCTCTTATTCTCTCATTAGAGCATTACTTACAATTTTAGTATCAACTATTTTTTATAATAATCAAATATATAATTATTATATAATCATTTATATGATTAAAATTATTTCCATTTTCCTGTTTTATGCAAAAAGTCAGTAAAGGAGTTTCCAATCAGTTTTAAACTTAGACAATAGGTTTTCTCTGACCAAAGCTGTCATCATCTTTACCATGCATTCCTCCATAGTGGGTAAGTCAAATCTTTCACTCTTTGCGCATATAATAATCTCAGTGCAGATATCATATATAAAAACAATGTTCCACAGGCATTATAGATTCCAACTGCTTGCCTCCTTGGCCAATGCTGGATAGTCAATGGCAAGTCCTAATTTTCAAAAGTATGATGAGTTTCATTTAGACTAGGTAGCATGAGGCAGGAACAGCCCTTGGGGATATGAAGAGCTTGCCTAAAAACCTTAAAAGTAAGGAAGATAACTTTACACAAACATGCAATTTGCCTGTTCCACATAGGCAAAGAGGAGCTGATTCTTTGGTTGGGGCTGACACCTTCAGAAAGGTTTGTATGGTCTTACAGGAATGGGAACCTTAGAATAGAATAGAATAGAATTCTTTATTGGCCAAGTGTAGTTGGACACACAAGGAATTTGTCTTGGTGCAAATACTCTCTGTATACATAAAAGAAAAGATACATTTGTCAAGAGTCAAGAATCATAAGGTACAACACTTAATGATAGTCATAGGGTACATAGGTACCTAAGGAGGTCATGTTCTCAGAATTCTCTTGCATGACCGTGTAATACAAGATTCTTTGTTCGTTATCCAGAAGGTCCCACTCCTCTGGGGTGAAGTATACAGCCACATCCTGGAAAGCCACAGGGCACTAGAAGAGGAAGGCAATTGAACAAAGCAATGCATTTGATCTATTATTCTGATGGCTGCTATGTCATTTAGCAAAAATATTCAGCAATTATGCTTGCTTTGTATCTTGAATTTGTAATTCCTTATTCAAGTTTATATAAAGTTTATATTAAGCTTGAATGACAAACACAATGTTGAAGAAGGGCCTGCCCAACTCATATTAAGGCAAGAGGAGGGAGATTAGAGGTTTAACTGTACTCTTTTAACTGAAACACAATTCACTGTTTGAACTTTTGGTTGGGATTGTAATTCAGCAAGCTATAGAAATCCAGCCACTGCCTTATGAGGTGAACCAGGAAATTGAGTTAAGTCATAAAATGGCTTAATAATATTGCTGGGATTCTAACCCAGGATTTGTCATTACAACTTGTGTCACCCAGGTACTGGGATAATATCTTTATGTTAAACCTCTAGCTCTCCAGGTAACAACAGGCTTTCCTAGAAAGTTGGGAACTATCTCAAGGGAGATGAAGTTTTTAGCTTTCCCTCTTTTTATTGCCCACTCCATTTGTAACCTATTGCAGGACAAATTCAGGTGGATTCAGAATCCAGCCTACTGGAGACCCCTTCTTACTTGGCCAGTGCTTGTGGTCAGAGGAACAACAACATTCCTAACATTAGGCTATGAATTAGGGGTTTCCTTTCTTATTAGCAAGGATACCTGTTGCTCCAGGTAAGCTTCAGCCAGCTGAGCTGCCTCCTGGCTGGTACTTGGCTTCCTGGCTCTCACCCAAGCCTGCATTTCCAAAGGAAGCACATGCAGGAACTGCTCCAAGATGACCACGTCCACAATCTGTCCTTTGGTGCGGTCCTGTGGTCTTAGCCATCTCTCAGCAGCCTCTCCCAGCTGGAACAGAGTCTGCCAGGGACGCTCTCCCAAAGGAAGAGCATCGGAACGAAACCTCCGCCTGTTGTACTCCTCAATGTCCATGAACAG